TAAAATTCTTCCCCGTGAAGAGAGTGTAGTATTCCAGTGGAGCATTCTTGCACTTTTGAAGGTGGTAGTTTTTTTAAATTGCTGAAAACTGACCTCTTATTTTGGATTTGGGGTCTCCGTTTTGGAGCACATTGACGGTCAGATGTGGAAGAAAATGAAAAGGGTAGGTATTTTGAGCCACTTCAAGGATGATTGCTGGGGCGGAAGGTTCCAATAGCAATAAATAGCAATAACGACTTGCCATCTTTAAAATAATGTTTTTATTATGCAATTTCAAACTTTGATTTGTAACATAATAAGAGGCTTTACCAGTAACACTCATTATCGATAGCACTTGTTGTGCCGGTGATGCTGCTTTCGATTCCTCTTCCAGTTTCCTTTCTCCCTACCTTGGAAATAAGGGGTTAGGTTACTTTTTGGCAAGTAAAACTTCTTCTGGAAATTTTTCTATATCTTGTTGCGCCATTTCTCCATCAAAAGCTTCTTTAATTGCTCTAATGAATTTATAAAAATTAAACATTGCTTACATTGCTCGATGCATCCGCTTTTCTCGCATTTCGTTTTATCATGTGCTTCAATTGCTTTACTGGTTTTTTGGTGATTGATTCGGAAATGAAATCTTTTGTAACGAACTCCCATGGGTTTGAAGTTTCAGAAATGCGGAAGTATCTGAGAGCTCGTCACTCTGGATTATAGTTTATATGTTCCTTACTATAAATTAGAAAAAAATGAGTACCTATTCGGAATTGATATAAGCCCGAAGGCATTGCAGCATCCTTTAGACCTATATCGCCAATATCATGTGTTACAAAAACATTTGAAAGAATGATCAAAAATAGACTAGAGTTTTTTATTGAAAGTAAGGGCTTGTTCCCAAAATATCAGTATGGATTTCGAAGAGGTCATGGAACAATAGATGCGTTAACGCAACTAGTTACCGATATACAATTAAGCTTCTCAAAGAATGACTATTTACTTAGTTTATTTATAGATCTCAAAGGGGCATATGAAGTGGTGGACCTCGGTATATTATTTGAAAAAATGAAAAAGATGGGTATCAATCCAAAGGTGTCCGCTAATATTTTGGAACTATTTCGGAACCGCCGAATATTTATTCGGGATCATAACAATGTATTACATGGGCCGAGGACAGTGAATAACGGTTTACCACAGGGGTCTATTCTCAGCCCCATACTCTTTAATATATATACTGCGGACTTGCATAGGTAACATTATGGACGCACATATCAAAATAATTCAATACGCTGATGATATCTGCCTGTACGTCTCTCATAGTAACTATGAGCAATGCGTGAGAGATCTTAAGTATATCGTATATTGTATAAATGACTGGATAAAAAATCTTGGTTTTAGTCTCGCATCGGAGAAATCGGCGGTTTTGTGTTTCACAAGACACCGGATTCATCTGGCGGACTATATAAAGATTAATAATTACTCATGTCCGTTGGTTAGCCAATATAAATATCTGGGTATGATCCTGGATAGGAAATTACTCTGGACCAGTCACATAAAATACATAAAAGAAAAATGTGAAAAAGGGCTAAACCTGCTTCGGACAGTTACTAAAGTTAAATGGGGAGCAAATGCGAATACTTCAATGATATTTTACAGATCGTTCATACGCTCGCTCATGGACTATGGGTGCACGGTTTATGGTATGGCCTCAAACACGAATCTGCTTATCCTCGACAGGATTCAATATAAAGCTATCAGAATCTGTTTAGGATTAATGAAATCGTCTCCGTGTCATGCAATTCTGACAGAAGCACAAGAACCCCCTTTAAATCTAAGAAGAAGGTATACCTATGGCAAAAAAAAACAAGTAGTGAAATATCGATCCTTTAATGCATTGTTGCTGAACAAAATAGCAAATCTAAATACAGAAAACTTAACGAACACCTACTGGATAAGAAAGAACCCCCCGCCTCTAGGGGATGCTTTCGCCGATACCCATAATTTTAAAGACATACCGTCCAGATCGATTTACCCTATGTATAGCTGTAGATTTGACGAAATTCTATTGAAACCAGCCGTCATATTTCCTAATTATACAGATCTTCCAGTTTTTAACAATACAATCTTGAAATCCATACTGACTACATTAGCGGAAAAAACAATTATTTATACAGATGGGTCTAAGACGGGTAGCGGAACAGGCATAGCACTTTTTGTCCCGTATACCGATACAGTACTACAATACAAAATTCCAAATGTATGTTCAGTTTTTACGGCTGAAGCCGTTGCCATAGAAAAAGCTCTTATATGGTGTTTGAAAAATTCAATAACAGGAGCGATTATAATATCATACTCAAGGTCAGTGTTGGAAGCTCTCCTCGGTTCGCCTTTCAAACAATATAAAAATAGTACCATATTTAATATAAAAAAGTTACTAAATTATTTTACCTCTCTGAAAAGAAAATTACATTCATATGGGCGAAAGCTCATGTTGGTATTGCTGGGAATGAAAGGGTAGACCGGGAAGCCAAAAATGCTACCAAAATAAACGACATTACGAACCTTAGTCCATCATTTAACGACATTATTAGTAATTGTAAAGCAAGCATACGAACGGATTGGGAGGCATTGTACCAAAAAATGGTTGCAAAATCCAACAATCATTATTTTCTCATTCACCCAAGTTTGCCGCATTCCATTCCTCATTTCACCTTCCCGGGTGTTACTAAAGCCTATACTAGTATGATTTCGAGACTAAAATTGAATCACGGGCGCTTTCCTGCCCATCTATTCAGGCTTGGTATAATGGATTCACCAAATTGTACCTGTGGTAATAGACCAACGGCAGACCTAAACCATTTATTCTTCGAATGTCCAAATTATGCAGACGCAATTAAAACTCTATTAAAAGAGCTAAATGATAACGGTGTCCAACGTCCTTTAAACATTACATGTGTCCTGGCCCAAGGTAAAAAAGCAGTTTTCGATTCGATAACTAAATTTATAAAAACAATTAACCTCAATATATGATATAACAAATGTGATGTTTGATATATGAGACGTATGTGGCAAATAGCGAAAGCTGATGCTAAAAAAAAAAAAATTGCAGCATCGAGAGGTGTAGAGGTGAGAAACTTTATCAGGAAGCAGTGCTTAATTTATGATATTTTAGCTACTGTAATAAATTATTCTAGCAGTTAAAAATATATGTTGGAATAAGCTCCACTTGCTATAAAATTAATCACTCAATGGAAGTTTAACCGGAACTTTTATTGAACGAACTCAAGACAGTCATTAGGTTACTACAATAAGAAGGTAATATTCAATCAAATTATTTGCAGTAAATGTCCTCTCTGTACTTCGGTAAAGTTTTGGCCACGGATCTTTTTTCTATTGTTAACACAAACATATAAATTGACTATTACATTACAGATAACAAAAAGAAAAGCATTCTATACGGTCCAAAAAGTAGGCTTTGTAAAAAAAATCACACATTTCCATAAAAATACAACGTTACTGGCGCCAATTTTTTTAGTTAATCAAGAAGTTTTTTGTTTTGTGCATACAAATCTAATTTAATCAAAGGTTTAATTTAATCGTACTGATTAACTAACGGCCTGATTAGTTATTGTTTGTGCATTCGGCCCATATTTTCAAATTGGTTAACATGCTACCATCTATCGAAATTGTCCGTAAAAAAGACCGTGGGGCGCCATCTGTACTTGGGTAGTATTAAAATTGCCCCAATCAATACCGCGTCGTTGAAGCCCGGGTCATTGATTTTTCAATTTGAAGTATGTAAATAATACAAACTACCTAAAGACTTTATTATAAGAAATATGGAAAAAATTACAACTATATTATTTGGTGTAGACATATATGTATAATATTTCTCCGCTTTGAACTGTAATCCCTGAGTGAGAAACAATAAAATCAGTCTAATTCAATACTGCAATATAAACAACCTGATAATTTATGTTCATAAAATGATAGAAAAATTGGAAGTTTGGTGAGACTTGATCTAATTACCTGTTCCGAAGAATAACTATCAGGTACAGATACTATTCTATGCTTATTGTATGTGGCACAATTGTCTAGGAACACTTTTGTATAATAATATAGGAAAAATAAAATAATATCTTTACAGAGGTAGATTGTTGTACAAAGTATGTTTCCTGTATAGGAAACTAAACTAAAACTAAAACTAACCAAATAATTGTATTTTATAGCCTCGCGTAAATAATTGATAACGTGTTTAAGTAGATGCCATTAAGTACTCTTCTTGTAGTTCGACGCCATACAGTTTTGAAAAAATTTACTAAAATAGCATCAACGAATGACGAGATAAAACTTTTAAAAATTAAGAAAACTACTAATAAAACACGCCCAAAAATACTAATATTGTCATAATTTTAACAAAATTATAAACAATTCAAAAAGTGATTAAAAACTATAAATAAATTATCAAAAATTTAAAATAAATATATAAATAAGTAAATACAAATTTAGAATTTGCGTCACACAACAATAATGGTGTCGTACTACATCGTTTTAAATTTTTTGAATTTTGACTGTCTCCGGGATAATTTTACTTTACACTGAATCTAAGTCTAAACATGAAACAAACACGTACAAAAAATAGTTACATCTTTTAGTATATAGGTATGTAAGAAGATCCACTGGAATTGTTGCCCCACCTTTAAGGATTAGTGGAATTAAACTTCATCAAAGGCGCAATAGGCGACCGTTTGATGAAATTATTAATCCTTTTTTCACAGCACGATATGTAAATTCGATAAGTTTCAAAATTGACTCATCTGCTGTCATCTGTCTTACTTTCATTGCACCACCTCTATATCGGCTTTTTACAATGATATGTCGAAAATAATCTTGTAACAGTGTATACCTTTTGTGTGGTACATGCGTGGGTACGTGCTGCCGCCTACAATTAATTGAACACAAATTGGTGATGTTGCCTATAAAATCGGCCCTCAGTCGCTTATAATTAATGCTACATAGTTATCGCTTTATTTGTTTAAGAAGGAGCACTCGGAGATGTCGCCGACGTCGACGCGGCCGTCGTTTCGTTCCCATTACGATCGTCGGAATCGTTTCCGCCACTTTGCGGCGACCTTTCCGTTCGTGTCGGGCAGTCGGCTATTAGATGGTCCTCGCTTTTGCAATTATGACATCTCTTAGGCTGCGGCCCCAGGGTGCATTTCGCGGCTATGTGATTGGCGAACTCTCCGCAATTGTAACACCTAAAAAAATCTCGGTGACGTCACTAATTGGATCCTAAACTACCTTTACCTAATTTTACGAAAGCGCTTTTTAGACGCAGGACGGCGATGCGATCCTTGGCAGTCTGAGTTGTTAGGGCCCGTTACTCGGGTCGCCTCTAGGCCTTTGTCTGATATTTTGCATTCGAATTCTACTTCTTCCTCGTCTCCCAATGAGCGAAAGCCGCTCATTTGTATGACGCTCTGAAACAAGAAATTGTTTTACTATACATTAGTCATAGTACTGGGAATATGTCTAATGCAAAGGTATACGTGGCGAATGGCAATGAAGTAGATTGTCATACGCCAAGAATTTATGGCCTCTGATTCATCATTAGAAGAGAATTTGCAGCGCGTAGGATGCTAGTGCTATGTGTTCAAGTAACCCAAAGGCCAGAAATCATACAATGTTGGGAACCTTTATTCTTTTGTCGTGGAAAACAACAATCATACTGTTTATTTATTAAATAATTTGGCGTTTTAACGTGTAAAGGTTTGCTTCCAAAATGAGAATTGTAGGAAAGCATTCTTAGTTTGATACAACGTAAAAGCCTCCTACAAAAAACTCTCAATTGTTAATTGTACGATCCATCGTGAATATGGCGATAAAAAATTCGTTGGTCTAAAAATCACACTACCCATAGAAGTTGGTCATAATTTAATTATAATTCCATAATGGCAATATCGTGAGATTTATGCTGTACATAATGTATGTACCTACATGTTTACATTATCCATCAGTTTATACATACAGCCAACGAAATTATTCGCAATCACGCAAAAAATCACCCACAATTGCACATAACCAGTAACGACATAAATTCCGAAATGTCATGTGTAATTCAAATTTAGAACTTGTTAGAAAATTCCTGACTTTCACTTGGAAACATATCGAAATCGTAATATTCAGGTCGTACCTGTTTACCGAAATTTCTCACACATCTGCAGGCTGTCAACAAAATCAACCCCAATAACACCGAAACTTCCGCGACATGGCATTTCCAATTTGAACCCACTTTCAGTCGTAGAAATCGTGATAAAATCCCGGGATATAAGTAAAAGTATGAATATTCAGTAGATAGTCGTTGAACTTCCGAAATACGTACGTCTGTATACCGAAATTTCCCAGACATCCCGCAGTTTCTAGAGGCAATCAACGAAATAATCCACAACAACACAGTGCAACAACAACAATCAACCGTCTCATAGTCTTACGCATATTCAAATTTAGAACCTATCACAGTACCTAACAGAAAATTGCAATGAATGAAATCCTTAGATCTTTACATGGAAACATGATAAACCTAATATTGCGAAGGAAAACATGGATTCCCGAAATTCTTGTACCGTTTCACCCAGATCTCCCAGAGAATCCGCAGTAGTGTCTTCAGGCTGTCAACAAAATCATCCGCAATAACAACGAAATCCTCCGCCATCAACCATTCGTACACAACGTACTCTTATCATAATTTCCTCATGCGTAGGTAAATATGAATTCAAAGTTAAGTCAAAACATGTTTTTGATGAATGTTTATCTTAGAAGTGTCGTGGGGCACAATCGGACGGGGCAAAATCGGACATGTCCGATTCTGCCCCGTTGATAATTCACTATTGCAAGCTTAATCATGCGAAATTATAAGAGAAAAACGACGAGGCAGGAATGGGATGAAGAACAAATGCGAAATGCAATACAATCGGTAAATAGAGGAGAAATGGGATTGAGAAAAGCATCACTAAATTATGGCGTACCAAAATCTACATTGGAGGATAGATTGAAAAAACTAAAAAGGGGATCTGTTACATTGGAGGATGCGCTTTAAAAGGTAAAGAATTAAATGAAAATAGGGATGAGTGAATACAGTAAAATAAAGTGTTTTTACAAATAAATACCAGTTTCATCAGTCGGATTTGACTGAACCAGGTCATGATCTTCATAAGAGAAGAGGTGGGAGAACTTGGGAGCTATTTTGCTCAATTAAATGAAGAAAATTTGTTACAGGTATGGGAAACTTCAAGAAAACTTTTACGGACGTGCAAGAATCAGAACTTGTGGAATATGTGAAGTTAATGGAAGGTAGACTTTTTGGTCTAACCACAAAAGATCTCAGACGTTTAGCGTTCCAGTTGGCAGAACAAAATAATATACAGCATAATTTCAAAAATATTATTGCAGGGTTAGATTGGTTAAAAGGCTTCCTTAAACGGCATCAGGATCTAAGTTTAAGAAGTCCTGAACCAACCTCTGTAGCACGAGCAATGGGGTTTAACAAAACAGCTGTATCAAAATTTTTTACTAATCTTGTCACCTGCTTGGATAAATACAAAATACAACCCCATCGTATTTACAATGTCGATGAAACGGCTATCACTACTGTTCCAAAATGTCAGTCCAAGATTATAGCTCAAAAAGGTCGAAGGCAGGTTGGTACTTTAACCTCAGCAGAGAGGGGACAGACCGTAACAGCAGAATTGTGTTTCTCGGCATCTGGGCACTATGTTCCACCACTCCTAGTTTTTCCACGTGTACGAATGAAAGCAGAACTACTGGATGGAGCTTCTTTGGGAACAGTAGCAGCCTGCCACAAATCCGGATGGATGCAGAGTGACATTTTTGTTCAGTGGCTGAAACATTTTGCCTCGCACGTCAAACCATCTATTGCAGATCCTGTTTTACTGCTTCTCGACGGTCATGCTACGCATACCAAAAACATAGAAGTCATAAATTATGGCCGTGCCAATGGAATAGTGATGCTATGCTTTCCGCCGCATTGTACTCACTGCCTCCAAGCACTCGATGTCAGCTTTATGGCACCATTGAGTGCATATTATAGCCAGGAACAAAAATCTTGGCTACGAAATAATCTTGGTCGGGTAGTGACACAATTCCAGATTTGCAAGTTATTCGGGAGAGCTTACGAAAAGGCAGCCACCGTACAAACGGCTACATCTGGATTCAGAAAAACTGGGATTTATCCAACTGATCCGAATATTTTTGGAGATGCTGATTTTGCAGCGGCAGAGACTACCGAACGGGAAAGAGACTCAAATGAAAATACGCAATTCATTAATAACGATGTCAATGTTAGAATGCAAATAGAAGACATAGAGCAAACCGAAATTTCGATACAGCAGGTTGAGGAGGAAGCAAACAGGTCCGTTACACCTCAACCTGGGCCTTCTGGATTAATGAATACAGTGCCTAATACGATCTATGAAAACGACGGAACTTCTAGAAGTAGGTCATCAGTGTCTTGTCCTTCGACATTTTCAAAATCGCCAAAGGACCTGTTTCCGGTGCCACAAGCTTTGAGATCAGCGAAACCAAATTGCCGTAAACGAGGTAAAACGGTGATTCTTACCGAATCGCCATATAAAAATGAGTTGGAAGAAGCCTTGGACAAGCAGAAAAAGCAATGCACGGCTGTAAAAAGAAACTTAAAGGGAAGAGTTAAACAGAAGAAGGCAAAGGAGCAAAAAAAAAGAGATATAAGTTGTGACCGCGAGAATGAAGAAGAAACGGAGAAAAAGAAGAAAAAGCAAAGAAAACAAGCTATTTATACAAGTTCTGATGATAACAACAACGAAGGAACGAGTGGCGATGAAGAAATGTGTGTATATTGTCATGAATCATACTATGAAACAAAAAAAGATGATGGGTGGGTGCAATGCATCGATTGCACAAACTGGGCCCATGAAGGTTGCACTGGCTTGGAAGAAGACGATTTAGTTGCATTTCAGTGTCGCAAATGTAATTTTTCCTAATGTACTATTTTGTCCGACATTGCCCCAAGTCGGAACCGGTTCTGCCCCAACGGTCGGGGCAAAATCGGACTAAGCACTGTTCGCAGAAAGCAATATTTTTTTTATTTGGTAAGAGTTATTTTGTTTTACATTTATATTTTCTATAGTAGTCTACAACATGTTATATGAATATGTTTTTCGTTTTTTTAAATAATAAAATTTTTGATTTTTATACAACTTTACTGTTAACCGTCCGGTTATGCCCCCCTTTCCCCTAATTCAAATTTATAATCGGTTACAGTAACGGAAACATTGATTAAGAAAACCTCTTGATTTTCACTTCGAAACTCATGGAATATTCAGAAGAAAATCATGAAAATTCCGCAAAATCGTCAAATCATCGACGGCCATTTGGGGATGAATAAAATTAGTACAAGGTGGCTCCTCAAATAAGTCTCGGTAGTTCGAGTTGAATGTGCTCGAACCATTTTGTCTATACCCTTGCCTATAGAATTCATATAAAGTTGACTTATAGATCGATTGGGAAATAAATTTTTCAAGATAGTTACACCTGATGGACTATCAGAAATTAGGAAATTAAACATTGCTTATCATGATTTGAAGAAAATCAGAAAATTCCGATTACTAACGAAGATACGCCAGAAAAACCAAAATTTGCCGATTTTGTTTTTATTTGTTCCTGATGTTATTTAAGCAGTTACAGAAACCTAAAAAAACACTTTCTCGTTGCCACTTTTTGAGGTTTACAAGACAACGTTAAGAGATTTTTAACACAACGTTTCGTTTTTTTTTATATGGCCAGTAAAAAAAGCACACACTGTATTGAGTAGCATCTTTTATTACGAAAACGACATACACAAACAAATTAAAAGTTCGAAACTGTTGGTTTCAACAAGATAGTGTACCAACGCACAACGCCCTAATCGTGCGAGAAGAGCTATCGCACAAATTTTCCATTTTCCAGGAAATTTGCCCGATAGATATTCCCACACGATATTTTGCGCGGGTGCACCATCTTGTTTAAACAAACTGAGTCGCCAACCTTTCTGTTGTGTTGTGGCGTAGATCGTTTTATTCGTAATAAAAAATGCTACTCAATAAGTACAGTATGTACATTTTTTACAGAAGAATAAAGTTAATGATGATTTCTCCGAAACGAAGCGTGGTATTGAAAATCTCACAATGGTGTCTTTTAGAGCTCAAAAAATTGCAATGAGAAACTGTTTTTAGCGCATTTTTGCAAAAATTTTTTTTTGTAAAAAGTAGCTTTTAATCTCACTTTGGCTGGCTGGCTGGCTGGCTGGCTGGCTGGCTGGCTGGCTGGCTGGCTGGCTGGCAGTAAATGCGCGCCCGTAGAAAAACGCTTGTAAAAAGACAAGGAGTGTACATGTAACTATCGGGGCCGTGTAATTAAGAACGTTAGGGATGGGGCTACAAGATTT